TTATCTAGTTTGTCTCTTCAAAAGCCGCTTTTCCACTGTCGTGCTGGACCGATTTAATGCTGAACCGATACATTCTGTGCCAAACCGGGCCAGACAGCAAATCAATTTCATTTGGAGGGAAAATGACCAAAATGTAACGTGATGACTGAAAATGACTGGAGGGAAAATAAATATATTTAAATTATCCATACATAACAGAAAATAAACAATTATAATGCAACAATAATAGTGTATTTGGGTTATAGTGGCAGAAGTGTATTTTTGACAGGCCTTGTGAAAAGTGAGCGGGCACTTTCACTAATAAAAAATATATATATATAGCGCTTAAATGATTTCATTTTTAACAATCAATAAATTAAACACAGCTTTATATCAAAAGTTGATAATGATATGAAATATGCATTTTGATGGTGAAATAACAATTTAAACAATGTCTGTTATTTCTTTCAGCATTAAATAACGAATGCAAGTAAAATAAAAGCGAATATGAAACAACAGCATATCAGGATATAAAGCATATATATCAAAGCTGGAAGGGCATCCGCTGTGTAAAACATATGCTGGAATAGTTGGTGGTTCATTCCGCTGTGGTGACCCCTGATGAATAAAGAGACAAAGCTGAAGAAAAATTAATGAGTGAATAAGTATATGTGTGAATAAATATATGAGAGAATCAATAGGTGAATGAACGAGTAAATGAATATATGAATGAATGAATGAAATAATGAATGAATCAGTGAAATAATGAATTGGTGAATGAATGAGTAAATGAATAAATGAGTGAATGAATGGGTGAATTAGTGAATAAATGAATGAGTAAAATGAATGAGTAAATTAATAGATGAACGAATAAGTGAATGAATGAGTGAATGAATAGGTGAATGAATGAGTAAATGAATAAATGAGTGAATGAATGGGTGAATTAATGAATAAATGAATGAATAAATGAATGAGTAAATTAATAGATGAATGAATAAGTGAATGAATGAGTGAATGAATTGGTGAATGAATGAGTAAATGAATAAATGAGTGAATGAATGGGTGAATTAATGAATAAATGAATGAATAAATGAATGAGTAAATTAATAGATGAATGAATAAGTGAATGAATGAGTGAATGAATGCGGGAATGAATAAATGAGTGAATAAATGAAATAATTAATGAAAAAGTAAGTGAGTGAGTGAATTAATGAATGAATGAGTGAGGTAGTGAGTATAAAAGAAAGTGAATGAATGAATGAATGTTTGAATGAATAAATGAAAGAATGAGGAGTAAAAGAGAAAGTGTATGAAGAAGTACATGAATGAAGGAGTGAATGAATAGGTGAATGAATGAGTAAATAAATAGATGAAGGAATTAATAAGTGAATGAATAAATGAGTGAATGAATGCGGGAATGAATAAATAAATGAATGAGTGAGTGAGTAAAAGAGTAAGTGAATGAATGACTGAATGAATGACTGAATGAATGAAAGACTTTCAGCTGAAACTGATGATGAATATTGCAGCAACTTTACAGATGTGTGTTATTAATTATTAGTGAATTGGAGGAAGAATAAAGACAAAGTAATGACTGATGCTAATATCACGTCTGAATATCATAAAGCAGAACATTATCTTCATGATGGATATAAATAAAACATATAAACAAATATATATAGCCCCGTTTAAAGGGACAGTTCACTCAATAATGAACATTCTGTCATCTTCTCCTCCTCTAGTTCATCTGCTGAACGCAAAGGAAGATATTTTGAAGAATGCTGGAGTACACACAGTAGATTTATGTTCCTACAATGGAAGTCAGTGTCTGTTTTTTCCAGCATTCTTTAGAGTATCTTCATTTGTGTTGAACTGAAGAAGGAAACTCATAGAGGTGTAGAAGCGCTCGAGTGTGTGTAAATGATGAGGGGATGTTCATTATTGGGTGTACTGTGCCTTTAAGAGTGTGTTGAGTCATTAACACACTTACTGTATGATGCTTCACATTAGCCACAGCTGGGAGATGAATGATGAACACTAGCAGCTGTGTGTGTGTGTGTGTGTGTGTGTGTGTGCGCGTGTGTGTGTGTGTGTGTGTGTTAATCTCCGTCTTCACTGTTGAGCTCAATATCATTGATCATGTTTCTGGGAGCTGCATGGAGTGTTAATACAGTAATGCAGGAGTCCAGCAGAGCCCGTCAACACACACACACACACACTCAGACACACACTCAGACACTTCATACATACGTCACTGACTCTCACACACACTCTCTCTTACTCACTCTCTTACACACACACACAGAGAGAGAGAGACAGGTACAGGTGTGTGATCAGTAATAATCTGCTCATAATCTTCAGCTGTAGGTCAGGAATGCGTGTGTGTGTGTGTGTGTGTGTGTGTTGTGTGTGTGTGTGTGTGTGTGTGTGTGTGTGTGTGTGTGTGTGTGTGTGTGTGTGTGTGTGTGTGTGTGTGTGTGTGTGTGTGTGTGTGATGGCCTCACTCCTCTATTCATCGCTG